GACCTTTCAAAGTGAAAGGCAGCAGCATTTCTTTGAGATCAATAGAATAGCTGTTTGGGATGCACTGATTCAGGCAGAAGCCCAAATAGTGTTCTGATTAGAAGACAAAGATAAGGGGTTATGAGAAGCAGAAGAGGAACAATTATACCAAAAGAAGGTAGGCATTTCTATGGGTACAGGTAACATACACAGTGATGTTAATTCTAAAGAATGTTTTTAATTTTCAGTCCAATAGTCATCAGTCCAGTAATCATAATATCTGCTTTCTTGTAATTCTTGCAAACAGTTTTTCAGGACACAATGTGGCTTTAGGCCCAGTCTAAAGGTAATTCTGCCCTGTTTAAACATTCCAAAGATTTGAGGCATAAAACATGCAAAGCAATTCCTCTGGGGTGGCAGCACAGGCTTCATTTTAAAGTGGCTCCATTTATACTATCTTTAACAACTCCTACACTTGCTTAAAAGAGAAAGAACAAAGGGATTAGAATAGAAGGCTCCTGCAGAGTGCAGAACTCAGAGATGTAATAGAAGAAAACTATTAAAAGTATATAATGAGAACTCTAAGTAGATGTAATTAGAACACTTGACTATTTTCAGAACTTAAAAATATTCTAGAACTTAAAAAAAAAATTCCTAATTTAAAAATTCAATAGAAGAATCGGAAAAGTGAATGGTTACTGTTAAAAACACAAATTCAGCCCTAAAATGTATACAAATGGAAACCAGATGTTAACTAGACAACGGTCATGTTTCTTTTTCTTGGTTTTGTGCAGCTAGGTTAACATACCTTTGAAATGCCTCTTTTTCAGACCCCTCTTTTATAAAACGTGACCACCCTCAAGAGAGCACATAATCTTATTAACTATCCTGTAATCCAATTATAGACATTTCCTTGCCTTGCTTTCTTCCACGTTCATGTAATCTTCCTTATGTTCCTGCCTTAATTCCAAATGTATATATGAAACTGCAAACTGTCATTGTAGGAAGCATTTTTCTGTCTGTTGAGGTCTTTCTTGCTTCCAGGTGTGTCCTCCATTTGGCTCAGATAAACTCTTATAACATTTTTCTACAGGTTTAGATGTTCTTTCTTTGACACATTTTTCTACCAATGGGCTTAGACCTGTCCTATCCAATAAGAATTGCACAATTTGGATACCTCATTTACATAAATGGGACCTAATTGGGAACCTGGGCTGGAACTTTTGCTATAAAAGACGGCCTCCCCTTTGTCTTGGTGGAATGCAATTCAAGTTGCTACCTGAATCTGTGTCTCTCAGGCTGCCAATGCTTTTTATTCTTTATTCCAGGGTCTAAAATTAATTTTGATTTACGATACCATCTTTACCTAGTGCCTTCATACTTCCTCTTACCCTCTCTCCTCTCCCAGCCAGGCTTCCTCTTCCGACAAAATTGAAACAATTGAGAGAATTTTTGCACATCTGAGGCACAAAATCTACCTACCTCTCAGCGTCTGCACCCACATACTCTGTTCTCCTCTGGCATTAGAAATAGCTCTGATCCTCCCTTGTGCGTTCTCTCTCACTTACTAAAGTGTATCACTCGGGCAACTCTCCCCCATCTCATATCTTGTCAATTTTTTTTGCTTTCAATCACTGCTATCAGCATTTAAACGTATTCTTTCTTCCACCTTAAAAACAAATAAACAAACACAAATTAAACTCCCTCTTAATCTCACTTCCCCTTCCCATTACCAACATATTTCTTTGCTCTCCTTTGCAGCAAAACTCCTTAGCATTGTCTATACTTCCTGCCTATAATTCTTCTCCTCTTTTTCTCTTTAAAACCACTCCATTAAGACTTTTTCTTCCTCCATGCCATTGGACCCACTCTTGTCAAGGCCACTAATAACTCCTCGTGGTAAAAGCAGTGATTGATCACTCAGGCCCCACAGCACTTGGCCATCAGCAGAACTGTACAGAGTCCACCTTTCCTTCTCCCTGACGTATTCTCTTCACTTGGCTTCCAGGGCATTACACTCTGCTGGTTGTCTACCTATCTCACTAAAAGCTTGTTAAAAAAAAACAAAAATCACAGCCTCATAATGATATCACTTGTGCTTAAAAGCCCATGATACCAAACTTACATTTAATACTTGATCTAATTGCAATTTCAACCTCTCCCAGAAACAATCTTAATCAACCAGAAAGGAATTTTCTGGTTAATCACCAATATGGTAATCTGTTACACAGGCTGTCTCCATCCTCCATAGAAAGAAGAGGCAATCTACATAATAGAACCCCTTTCCCCTTTCTTCTCTCAAAGAAAAGATGTCTCAGCCCCAAAATAATCCTTTCTTTTCTTTCCTAAGAGCTCCCTTGCCCCACTTTTCTTCCTATAAAATCTGTTCTCAGAGCACCCTTCTACTTGCTAGATGAATAGCTTAATAAAGCCAAATAGATCTTTAAATTTACTCGGTTGAATTTTGTTTTTTAACGAGCTCCTTCTCCATCTGCTTTTCTGTGTCTCTTCTCCTGACCTGTGTTAATTTGGTCTAAATATTCCTATGCTTTTAAGTGGCAGCTGTCCCACTTCACAGAGTTAACCATTCTTAAGGACAATGATTTTCTGTTCATTAAAAGATACTGAAAAATAGCCTCATGAGCAAATAATTAAAAAAAGAAACGAGAACAAAGTAACTGTAAAGTAGCAAAAAATAACAAAATGATGTCTAAAGTGGCTGAAGCTGCTTGGCCTAGGAAAAGACCCATGTGCTGGTGGCACTGCATCCTGGTTGAATTAGTCCTGAATACTTGGCAGGCGCTCTAAAATGTGTTCGAACTCTTTAAACCAATAATTCTGTTTTGGGAAGACACTCTAAAATGGCCCTACAAGGAATAAATGTATCAGTTGTAGAAGTACAACTATAGGTGTTCCATTTATAATGCTAAATAGAGAAATAAAATGAAAGGGCAGCAGTAGAGGGCCAGCAGGTGAGGGCAGCTGCCAGGGACCAGTTTGTGGGGACCAACCCATAGGTAAATTATGGGAGATCTCTATGTTAGAATATTGTCTAGATAAAATTCATGAGGTCTGTGTTAATATTGGAAATGTTTAAATGAAAATGATCTTAATGGGGAAAAAAAAGACAGGCACAAAATATTACTTACACACTGTGTTACCAAACAGGAGGAGTTCGTCCATCCAGCGCAAGCAGAACCAAACGCTAAATACTGAGAATGCAGTGGAGAAAAATTGGCTATTTTATTACGCCTCCCAGGAGAATGGGAAGCTAATTCTCAAAAGGCTCAACTCCTAGATAGTTTACAGACAAAAAGTTTTACAGAGAAAAATCACGAGTCATCACGAGTAAGGGGTTTGGGGTCATGAGTCTTTCTGATTGGTCAAGAGTGACCTAGTCTTGAGGTCAGCTTTGGTGTCCTTCAGTTTGGTTTCACAAGGATGTGGTAAGGGGGTCTTCCTATTTTAGGGCTCAAGAGCTGAAACAACTTAGGCCACGATGTTAGCATTAGCCTAACAGAAACCCATACCTTGTGACTCAGTCGAAGCCTGGCTGTTGTTTCCGGCTGTCTCAGGGGGTTAACAACTAGTAAGGGCAAGGGCTAAGGCTTACAGTGCCTGCTGTTAAGAAACTAAATAGAGTGCTGAGACTACATATAAATCGAAATCACACATTAAATCAGGACTCTCGTTTTCAATTGCAGCTATATAAAAATTCAGGCCATAAATATTCATTTGGAAAAAAATTACTTATGGCCTTTAATGAACGTGGCAACATGTTGGGCACTGACGAAAAGCGACACAAATATGCAGGAATAATGCACAATAAGGAAGTCCAGCTGCTGTCTGGGCTCGATCAAAGCACTTTGTAAGCTCTGGGTTTGCACCCCAGCTAGACAAAGGATGGGGTGGACGTCCCGGGCAGGCTGTTGGCGGACCGAACGCCAGGGGGCGCTCCAAACACGTTTCTACGTCCCGAGGGGGCCCTTGGGGCCCTGCGCGCTCTCTAGGGCGACCAGCCCGGCCGCTCCCG